AAAAGTGATTTGGATGACTAAAATTTATCTCTTTCAACTGGGAAAGTAGATATTTCAAGGACAATATACCTTTATATCTTTAATAGCGTGTTATAATGGCATTTGTTTTAAACAGTATTATTTTTCTACTATGTACATAATTTATAATAAAGATATAGATAAGGTTTCTGCGAAAAGTACAAAATAACAAAATACAGAGAAAGAAATGTTATTATCTATTTATCTATTTTGATGCACTGTTTCTTACCTCAATCTGATTGAAATAAGATTACAATTTAGTGTCTTTTTTCGTTTTTTGACATTTTTATCAGCAAACTAAAAAATATATGAAATTGTAAACTTATTTTAATTATTATGTTCCAAACTTGACACTGAAAATAAACCCAAAATTACCCAAAATAAATAACGGTCAAAAATGTCAAGAAATATATACATTTTAACACTTTTACTACACGTATGTTCTGAAAGGAAATCTAACAATTTAATTGGGGTAACAGGGTGACATACAAAATAATGAATGAAAAATATACAATCCAATTTGAAAATATAGGTGAACAATTTTGATTGTTTTGATAAACTGCGTGTCATAATATGAAAGTTGTGTCTTAACTTATTATAATTTTAGTGTTCCAGTCACCTGATTGGTCAATCACTAAAGTTGATTTAAAATTTAGTTTTATTATCCAATCAGATTACTGTATTTCTTAAAGTTTGGATTCTATTTAATTCAAGTTTTGGATAATAAGGCCTCTGATATAATATAACATAACTCATAAATGATATAAAATATCACAACTTATTTCTAGTTTCCCTTTGTCACGCAAACCTCGTATTAGGAACCAGAATGAATATTCATGAAGCGATTTTCAAATTTTAATTACATTGGGCTAAACTAAGCAAGAAAAAGCACTCTCCGTCTCTTACAAGATTTTTTTTAGGGGGGAATAGGGGGAGGGGGGTGTTTTGAACAAAACCAAACATCTTCGGATTTCACCCCATTTAAAGAGGTTGTCTTCGATTCGTGTATTCACAGATCCTTTTTTTCCGATTCTTTCTATTTACGTATTGCTCAAATCAACCCCCAAAAATGGCGCGTACGTACAATAATCATCTTTTAACGCTTTGCTAATTTCATAATTTCTTTGATATCTATAGGACCTATTATGGACCGACTATAGACATAAAGAAATAACAAAACACACCCTAATTCTCTTTTTCTTATCTCAGTGAGTCATTCACAGACTTGACTTCCAGTCGTTTTTTGAAAATATCCTTATAACTTTCTAATCCAGTCTTTCTTACAATAATCTCTTTATTCAAATAATTCTATTTTAATTTCATTAATTTTTAACGATTTGTTTTTTTTGGAAGGTTTTGTTCTTTTTATAGTTTTTGCGAGTTTTGTATTTTGAAAGTGTGGAAGACAAGAAAGAAATAATGATGAAACTGAAATAAAAATATTGGTAGGGTAATTAGGATCATTTTTCTATGAGGCAAAAAACCATGCATGGTGTCCTTGAAGTCAACGATATCTTTCATCGAAACCCTTTCAGTTGACTTCACACGATAATCACCTTTACATTAAACATCAAAGCATCGATATATCTAGCAAGTATAATATTTATATTTTGTATTTTTCTAAATTAAATCTAATTTCATTTCATTCATTTATTTTTCTTTTATTTAGATACGGCCTTGAAGTATAGTTACGGCCCTGTACAGGGGAATAATAGGCAACCACAAAATTTACTGACACTCTGCTATTGCACCCTGCATTCGATAAATTCAGTATAAAATAATACATTTTGGAATCAGAATTTCAAGCTCTATTTAATGAAAGTATTTCCTAACGATCACAGAACGATACATTTTGAGAAAAATAGGTGACAAAATGTCATAATTTAAGCGTATTCAGTATCTGTCTGCTGATATATAAAGGAAATATGAGACAAAGCTAAAAAGACAATAAGTGTTTCACATGCAGGTTTGCCAAAATATAAAAATTGTGTTTAACTGCCTTTTGCCATTTGAGGACTGTATTGTTTCTTACTACATGACCTTTGTTGAGAAAACTATATACTCATCTCTTACAATATACAAATGAGTTTATCATCTTTTTGTAGTGTCCAATGTCCAATCTTATATAAATAGCACGATATAATCTTGAACTGTAGACATGAGAACAAGATACAATGTTCAACTTGAGTAAGGACGCAGGCTGAAATAAGGTCTGAGGATAGCAATGCGTGTAACTCTAAGAAACAACATGTTTCAGTTTCTGTTTTAATATCTCTATCTCTATTGAGCACTATTCTAACAATGGAATTATTTTGTTATTGTATAATTTTGTCATGTAATTTAAATCGGAATTTTATTGAAAATTTCTGACTTACCCACGCTGCTGTAAACAGTTTGGAAGAATATTGAAGATAAAAGAAAACAAGTTAATAACATCTTGTTGTGGTATACTCCCCTTGTAATACGACACCTTATCGAGGCAATATACTAATGATAATTAACAGTCTACTTGTCAAACTAGTAAACTTGTCGATATTTACAGTCATTCACAGCAATTTTTTCCGATACAACTATTTAAAGTAGCAATGCCACTTACTTTGAATTACTTTCAAAGTTCAGTAAAGAATAACATTTCTATGTTCTATACAGGAGTCAGGGGTGTATCTATAATATGACTAAGGGGTGGGGGTTGACTCAGAATTCCTGAAATTCTCATTGGCCTTTCACAGGTGAAAGAGGTGTGGGGGTGGGGGGGAGGCTCAGTGGCCCACGCCCTACATACACCACTAACTGAATCGTCATGGATTACTCCCCATTCCATTTTTCGTCAGATGTCTATGGTTCCTGTATAGTTAATTCATAGAAAAGCTTATCCGCATAATATGACGTCACTAGTGCAAAAGCTGGTAACTATATCCAACAGCCTGTGCGATAGCCAAGTTCAGTGGAAATGCATGGACCACAGACTTGTGAAAATTAGAATGGTGCTAATCGGTGATATCTGTGTCCTCGATATACGTAAATTTTTTAGAAAACCTCCAATAATCCCTTCAGTATAAAAGTCAAGAATGGTTTTAGATTGTTTACAAAAATTGATAAAATTCTTTACAGAACTGTGCCCGCCACCCTCGAGTCCTTTGATAATCCTGTCTATCAAAGTATAATATAATATCACGGCCTGAGTGGCTGTTTTCATTTAATTTAATGAGTTATTGATGGAATTTGTACTTGTTTTCATCAAAAAACAACAATTACATATGCTACATGTATATCAGAAAATAAACCTGTGTAAAGTCCATTTTAATAAGTATATCATTATTTCTTTATCTCTCAATGGTACATAGTGAACAGTTGTGAAACAGTAATTGGTCAATTCCTCACCATAAACAGTCTACAGTCTAAATATTAACAACAGTCTAAATATTAACAGCAGTCTGAATGTTAACAACAGTATTATCAATGTTAACAACAGTCTGAATGTTAACAACAGTATCAATGTTAACAACAGTATCAATGTTAACAACAGTATCAATGTTAACAACAGCATCAATGTTAACAACAGTTTAAATATTAACAACAGTTTGAATGTTAACAACAGTATCAATGTTAACAACAGTCTGAATGTTAACAACAGCATCAATGTTAACAACAGTATCAATGTTAACAACAGTATCAATGTTAACAACAGTATCAATGTTAACAACAGCATCAATGTTAACAACAGTCTAAATATTAACAACAGTCTGAATGTTAACAACAGTATCAATGTTAACAACAGTATCAATGTTAACAACAGTCTAAATATTAACAACAGTCTGAATGTTAACAACAGTATCAATGTTAACAACAGTATCAATGTTAACAACGGTCTAAATATTAACAACAGTCTGAATGTTAACAACAGTATCAATGTTAACAACAGTATCAATGTTAACAACAGTCTAAATATTAACAACAGTCTGAATGTTAACAACAGTATCAATGTTAAAAATACTCTCAATATATTCTCAACAGTCTTAATGTTAACAGCAGTTGCAATGTTTACAAAATTAACAACTATCTCAATATATCCTCAATGTTAACAACATTCACATTGTTACACTATTCTCATTGTTAACAACATTCTCAATGATAACAGCAGCCTAAATGTTAACAACATTCTCAATGTTAACAACAGCCTAATTGTAAACAACATTCTCAATGTTAAAAATACTCTCAATTTAGTCTCAATTTTAAAAACCTTGTCAATGTTTACAACACTCTCAATATATTCTCAACAGTATAAATGTTAACAACAGTTTTAATGTTAACAACATTCTCAATGTTAACATCATTCTCAATGTTAAAACAGCCTAAATGTTAAAAACAATGTCAATGTCAACAGTTTAATTAAACTTAAGACAACTGCTATTTTTCAATGCACAATATATTAGTCAGTTGTATTGTTTCGAGTTCACTTTGATTAAACATCGTTTTTTGTATACTTTAGATTATTATCTCTATTTTAATATTAACAGTATATTGATTGAATTCCTGTAAAGTTCAGAGAGGTCATATATTTCTGTATTATGTCTTATTTTATTAACATATTATTGACACGAAATGCTCGCTTGAAATACATTGTCAATTATTCCATATCTTGTTATGATTTATCCCATAAATAGTGGGAGGGGCTTATATCCACAAGATGATAAACTTACCCATAAGTTGACGATGAACTTATACCACAAGATAATGAACTTATCCAAAATAAACAATGAACTTATTCCACAAAATGATGAACTTATCCAAACAAATAATCAATTTATTCCTTGAGATGAAGAACTTATCCAATAAGGTGATAAACTTATCCCATAAGGTTATGAACCTATCCCATAAGGTTATGAACTTATCCCATAAGGTGATGAACTTCCCCCATAATGTGATGAACTTCTATCATAAGATTTAGATTTATCCCATTCAAGATTTATCCTACAAGATAATTAACCTATATCGAAAGATGATGAACCTATCCCATAAGATGGTGAACCTATCTCATAAGATGATGAACCTATCTCATAAGATGATGAACCTATCCCATAAGATGATGATGAACCTATCTCATAAGATGATGAACCTATCTCATAAGATGATGAACCCATCCCATAAGATGATGAACCTATCCCATAAGATGATGAACCTATCTCATAAGATGATGAACCTATCTCATAAGATGATGAACCTATCCCATAAGATGATGAACCTATCTCATAAGATGATGAACCTATCCCATAAGATGCTGAACTTCTCTCAATCAAGATTGGACTTATCCCACCAGATGATGAACATATCCCAAAAGATAGTGTACCTATCTCACGAGTTTTTACATAGATCCCACGAGATGATGAACGCATCTCATACAATGATGAACTTATCTCATTAGATGATGAACTTCTCCCATTCAAGATTAGACTTTTCCCATAAGACAATGGACCTATCAAGGAGATAATGAACTTATCTCATAGGATGGTGAACCTTCTTAGTACATATTAGTTTAATTAGGTGGAAAATTCATCATTTTTTTTTTCGGACACCATAATTTTACGATCAAGAATCATAATTTTATGTAGATTTTCCAACTGGGAAAAATTTCAAAACTGTATACGAAAGTTTTATTGTTTTACTGGAAATATTTTAGCATTTTGTTGAAAAAAAATTCGCCATTTTCTGGATAGTTTTCAGAGTACTTGTTGTATATACCCTTCTTGTACTATGTTTCAATTTATAAAGTACATCCGAATAAATTAACCCAGGCGTATAAATGATGAAGAATGTGCATATAATTATACGGCTGTACTCTTCAATAATTTAAAGGGAAACTACCTGCCATCATTTGACCCAAACACAGTTTCGTCATGTTCTCTTCGGGTCGATCTTATCTTTACCAATGGGTCCTTTTAATGTCGCCATAATTGCAAGAAACACAAATAGAAAATAGTTATCTCATCGTGCGATTAGGTATATAAACTTATATAAATCATGATTAAGCTACAATGGGCGTGTAATATGTTCAGTTATTTTATTTCCCAGATCTTCGACTCATCGGCACATACAAAAAAAAGACACATTTTGGTGACAATGATCTCTTTGATACTTTCATTGTTAAGTGTTCCAGGTAAATCTTCTTCAACCCAATAAAATAGAGGTTCCAGAGTATTTTGAAATTTCTGGATTGTCGTCATTTAAGAGGCAAAGTTAACTTAAATTTTACAATAACAAACAGTTGATCTTTTTAATAATTTTCAATAACAGGGTGGTCCTTAAAATTGCGACACATAGCTAAAGTATTTTACAAGATAAAGAAAAAGAAAAAAGCTAAATGTCAGACAATTATAGTCTGATAGATTTTGAGACCCTGAAAACGACTATCTTTAGCAAAAGAACTTTTGGGGGAAACAAGCTAAAAACCTTGCTGCCGAGAACGCAGTTACCAGTAAACCTGTGCCCCATATACTAGAGCCAGTCTTTCTTAAGCTAGATACCAGACTTTAGCGTTCCATTCATTTGTTGGCCAACCACTAAATTAGTTTTAACTTTAGCTGTGTTCGTATAAGACTATGTTTGTCAGTAAGACAACTAAGTAAGCATTATAGTTTCAAAAATGATCCTAACGTAGGGTCGTTTAGCTATCTCTCGACATATCGAATAAGAGCGGGCTTACAACCCCCCTCAGCTTTTCCTAAAAGATAATAACTCGTATGTCTATGAGTAGGCTGTGATTTATAAAGTCATAATAAAGCCAACTAAGATATATGATGTTAACACTTATCTTGAGGTAAACCTTTGATAGTTGTCAGTTTTTATCATATTTCAATTATAACTACCAACTCTTTGGTTTTTACCTATATTTTCTATTTCTTAAAAGTTAAAGATCCATCAATCTACAGTACACTTAAGAAAGGAAGAAACATCCAGAAGGACAACATTTTGAGTTCACGCAGGATCCTTTGTAGTAGCTGATCCGTGGCCAAACCTTTTAGTATGGATCTTTCCCGGATTATTCATACCAATTTGGGTCGACTGCAATAAGTGAGAGGCTAGATGACCGCCCAGTAAGTGAGGACAACTGTGGTGGCTGAGATTCTTAATGCGGGACAGTGTAGAGGCCTTCACCTAGAAAAATGTTGAAATATGGAATTGAATTCTTAATTTAGGTCAAAAGCGAATAAAATCATATTTTGATTTTTTTTTATAAATGAAGTCTGTATATTCAATGTTCTTTGATACATCTATATTGATATCTAAATTTTCAACAATAATAATACACCCCCACTGGTGCCGCCATCAACATACCACGAACGTTTTATTACAAACTTAGTACATGATTGTATACTAATGTTTCAATTGAAAAAGAAAATAAAGTACAATAGTACTACTAACTTGTGTTTAGCTTACATATCACATTTACAAAGTCCCTACGCTTGACTGCCCATATAGATGCACCTTTGAACCATATAGTCGTGTCAGCAACCCTTAACCCACAATCCCAGTTTTGTCCAAATCAGATCATCCTGCCCTAGTTATTAAGGTACAGTCTCTCCATATCATTGGCGGCTAGAGAACTTTGCCCCCTCCCCCCTCACCCTTAGATTTTTGGTTTGCACCCCTATAGGTATCCCCGTTATATATATATAGACAAATTTAAGAATATGATTTTTAGACGTTTTTGCCAAAAAATATAAAACCCTCGCAGACGCTCAATGAGAAGCTTGCGACCATAACGTATCCACGAAATTGTCGCATTTTGAATTCAGGCTCGACAGTTGTCCGCCATAGAATCAGTCTGCCCCCTATTTGTACCCCCAGTCTCGGGAACCGCCACTGTAATGGGAGCTTGCCCGTAGATCATATTGGTACAGAAAAGTTAGACGAGAAACACAATTTCATTGACAAAACTTGGCCAGGATGTTCTAAAAGTCTTCTAGCTATAATTGGAGCGTGATATCTTTTAAATATAGCACAATAAAAGGTATCTGTTTCCTCTAGATTGAAAACAACTGGATCGTGAAGAGTCAAATATCTCTGAACATGTTGATTATCGTCAGATTAGTCAGATTAGCTTACTTAATATGTACTTTACCTAGTTCTTTAGAACTGAATAGTCGGCGACTAATTTAAAGGTAGATTGCCGGTGAATCAACTACCATAATTGAACCAAATACGTAAGAGGGTCCCCAACCACAGTTGAATTTTAACAGGCCGCCATTCATTAAGTTGAGACACTTTGGTTGCCCTTAAATGTGGGTGGGCGGGTATGTGTATGTTAGTTCCATAAAACATGAATTCTAACGAAATGGTGCAGGGGGAATATATTATGTTCCTGAGACATCAATTTTCAATAAAGAATTGGAAGGTAGAAAACGCTTGAAAAGACATCCCCTGCCACGAAAAAAATAATGAATCAGAGCTCTCTTTGGGTGTATTCATAAAGCCGAATCTACCTCCATAATGTATGGAACCAATCCTTTCTTATGGGGCGAGACTCTTTATTTTGACGTTTTACCACTCATTTGTTTTATTATACCGTGATATATAGGAGCAGAATTTTCACCGGGAGCCCTTTGCCAATGGTGTGACGACTGTTGAATTCAGTCAATTTCCCTGCCTTTTACTGGAGAATTCATGGCGGGGCTAATAGATAAAATACGATGACCACAACCAAACCATCCTACCTCTTTAGATCTTGTTCCATGAAAGGTAAATAACACCCGATAGTGCTACCTCAAGACCTATACCTCAACAACCAGATGTTAGAGCAGTCTTTAAAGCAAACATTCTGATATTATACTGTGTCGCTCTTTACCAATGTCGAGTGTTCCAAAAGAAGAGTGAACATAATTTTTTCTGGTGAAAAGCTACCCCTTTGGATTGCATCACGTAATTCTCAGCTGTAGGGGCCCGAGACGGCTCAGTTTCCTTGTCTGAATGCCCTGGATGCACTCCGTAAATTGATCTGGGCCACAAGCTTCTCTGATGTCAGATACATTATCTTTCTTTTATATAGATTCTCTTCAACTCTGTGCCGGGTTAATGCTCAACAATAGAAATATTTGTCGTATCATTCTGTTTTGAATTAATACCTGGTTTAAAATATTTTGAAAATGCAGTCAAGGCTGAAAACATGATATCAAGAAGATAACGGGTGCAACACAGTACAAAATGGAAACAAATTCAACTAAAACCGTTGACGGTACCGAGGCAGTGCAATATATTGACATTGTGAAGATGATGCACGTTACTTATAAGTACATAAGTCTCGAAAGGAACACCCCCTACTCTTCTCCAAGAAATAAATACACCTGGCAGTTTTTCGTGGTCTAAATGTCTGTAGGATTGATTAGAATTATGTGCCTTTCCGGCCAAATCAGGTGCAGCATATTATATTAAAGAGATAGTAAAGAGGTTTTGTAAATTTTTATGAGTATCGGGGACACTGATAGCATCAACTTGCACTTTTCCAAATTTCCATCCGATTCCCGTGGTTCCTGCCAAACTAAGTGTTTGATAACGTCACTTATCGCAAAATTTGCTCTTTTCGCGATTAGTGACGTCATCAAACATTTAGTTTTAGTGGAATTACAGGAAGCGCAGACATCTGATCACAAATTGAAATAGTGCAAATTGATGCTATCAGTGTCATAAAAATTTAGAAAACCTCTTTACAATCCCTTTAACTCTCGTTTTATATCAATTCATTTCTTGAATGTACAAAGTTCACGAGATTTGTATTTATTTGATAAAACATAAGATTTCCCATATTTACATTTTACACATAAATAATTTCAAATATATACATAATAATACATTAACAGTTAAAACTATTGTATAATATACAGATATAATCTTTACGATATAGGCAAGACTAATTCTAAATCATCATAGCATGTCATGGTTGTATCCTAATTCAATTCTATGCCTATGCCAGTGCTTACAAGAGCCGACTCCGTGTCAAGACAAAAGCCTGACATGCTATGAAAGTATAGAATTTTACCTTCCTTATCTAAATGATACTGATGGTGATCTAGAAATTTTTGTTACCAACTGAGCTTAATTTCAGCTTCTGACTGGAAGTTTAGATTGTTTTTTCTTCAAGGACCATTTAATATTCTCAAAGACAATTATTAAGGATGGCGTCATGACATCCACAATAATATGTAATGTTTTAAGATAAATAATACATTTTATTTCTGAAAAGTGCCACCGTTGCCATTAAGCAACTATCATCCCTCAACAACTATATATGATATCTGTGTCTACAGCATGTTTATCCAGTCCCTTGTAAAGGTAATCATATAAGTTTTTTTCAGTAATGTACTGTATTCAATGATCCTTGCTAAATGTCATAATGAACACACGACATTTGACCCTTAATACAAGGCAAACCTTCCTGTCACGAAGTTTAATAAGTAAAAAATGAATCAAAATTAAATGCACCTTTTAAGCTATACTTGTTATTTGCAATCATCTTTCATATACTATATATTTGTGTGTATAATGCTCATTTTTTTTTACCATTGCTTATCATAAGCAGTTTATAATGCCCGTTAAAAAAAGTACTTGTCAGAAGGCTCAGCCTTGAATCATGACCTTGCATTTTTTTTTCAGCTTATATAAATGCATTCTAATAGCATGTGTTGTAAGCATATCAGTTGCTCATCCTGTAGTTATTATTCAAATACTTGCACTAAAATATATACTGTATAATTGTGTGTATAATGCGCATTTTTGTACCATTGTTTAACATAAGCAAGTGACTTCTTATCCTGTTAGTGATTATTTCAGTACCAGCACTGAATACACCAAGCTTGAACCCCCTATTAAAAAATCACATGAATTGAATTGACAAAAGATGAAAGTCAAATGGGTGATATATGGACAGGATCAATGGAATGCGTAGAGTAGTAATAATATAACACACACTGCTATTACACCTCCTAGAATTATAGAGTCTCTTCGTTTTCTGATATTTATCCTCTGCATTAAACTGTTGAGCATTGGAAATTTATCTAGGGTAGGGTTAAGGAATAATATAAAGACATGTTAAAAGGCTTAATGAAAAGGCTTAAGTATTTTTAGAAACCCTAGAATGCCTCCCTCTATCCCCATTTAAATTTCATATCATTTTGTTCTAAATGCCTGCCGCTGTGAGCGAGTGGCAAAGCCAGGTTTAGATCTGAGGGGTGGCGAAATATCTGCTCCCCCCCCCAGTAAACTGTATAACCAATGTGATTGCTGGTGAGAAAATAAAAAGGATACTAGCTATGGTGTTCATCTTATGAGATATTGCCCCTAAAAATTTCTTCTGACTATAAAGGTTTTCTTTAGTTGCCATAGCGATACTGAAAAATATAAACAATCATTTCTGAACAAAGCTGCAACTGAAAGATCAGTCACATAGAGCAAAATAATACAGGGCTGAGGATCAATGGATAGCTTATCAAATGTGGCCCTCAACCACATATCCAGACTTAGATTGAGCACAGGGGGTCTTACAGAAAATGTCATTTGTCTTGAATAAAGGGTTGACTAGTTTGTTAGGATCTTGGGACCTGTGTCAAAAGTGTAGGCTCTGATATCAATATTTCTTTCAATGCATATAGCATGACATTACCCCTATCAACTGCCTAAAAAAGTAATGAAAAGTAAGGTGTTTTATATCCATTCTATTTCAATATCTGTATGTCTAATGAAGAAATAAAATGATGTAATTTCTGAACTAACTAACAAATAGTATACCTGATTTGATCATCTACCAATCTCTCTGAACTGAAAATAAAAATATTCGATACTAATCATTAGTTTTATATCAAATCCATGAATAAAAATTGAATAACATGCAAAACTTTATAATATTATAAATACCAATATTCTTAACACTTTTAAGATGGGCAGCCATTCTAAAGGTTGGATAATTACATTATATATATTGAATGAGTGGATGAATGATAAAGTCTCCAGTGAAGAAACAGAATTTTGAATTCAAGGAGTGTAATTCTTTAAATTGTGGTCAATAACATGCAAATAGGAATGTATCACAGGTTAATTGTGTATGACATGTATAATATATGATATGATATAATGTGGGCATATATCAATGTTTCCCCATTCATTACAATAGTATACCAGAAACAGAATACTGCCCTGAAAACTCTATCAATTTTTCAATTTTAATTATTGAAAAGAAACTGATATTGATAAGGTCCATAAAGAACTTAATAAATGTATGGTGTTAAATATTGACAATAGCACATAATACATATCCTACATGTATAGTTTACATGACATTTAAAAACTATAATATCATGAAGGTCACATACAAAGTTCATGTACTTTATGAACTCTTGAAGGAGAAGTCCCAGTTAATTTTGGTAAGACATGCTGTGATGTCAATGGCCTAGCATATCAGTGTTTAAAAGTCAAATACAAACTAAAACTCAAAGCTTAAAAAGAATGCAACAGTTATGTTTTCGGAGATATTAAATAGGTCTTTTAACTATCAAAAAATATTGCTTACTACCTCATTCTTTGACAGTTTTGGAATGATCTAAAAATATTACAGTTTTTACTTATAGATTTTTACTTCAATTCATTGTGTAACAAAACTTAAAAAGATTTCAAACTCTGATGACTTTGGGTGTCACCTTCATTTAATGTGCATTACCTAACAAAGACAAACCTACTATATACTATTCAAGGGCAAGGCAAACATGACAGATTGTAATTGCCATGGATGCTGGGCCAGAATTTTAAATTGTCAAAAAATTTTCCACAGCAGCCACAGAAGCAACGCCAATCTGTCAAGTTTGCATATCGTGGGTTACCGCTTGAAACCTCGTATAATGTTATTTTACGCGGAATTATTTTTCGAGAAAAACGCAAAAAGTTATTTGTACGCGTATTTTGTTAATATCTTTTTTATTATTTTTTTAACACTGTACGTGGTTTTCATTCTTGGAAAATATAAACCTTGTATAACAATTTGAGATCTCTGGCCTATTGAACCACAAACTTGTATAATAATACAGTATACAAGGTTTTTCATTTTCATCCGCAGAAAAGGAACATTGAACCTCGTATAATAGTATATTTTAGTAGGTTTTAAATCTGACTGTTTATATCGTGTTATTTAATTGGTGCTTTTTGAGTTATTTACAATCAAGCTAAGAATACGAGGTTTTGATCACAAGATCCGCGCTTTTACGAGCCTTCGAACGGTACCAAAAAGTCAAAATGACCAAATATGGCATATACGAGGTTTCAAGCGGTCACCCACAATATCCTTAAACCAAAGGTCAAGCATAACTCCCTAAATTCTGGAGTACCACGCTACTCAAAAAATAACAGAACAACTATCAACTGAATATGAATCAGGAAGCTTCTTCAAAATTACAATGTCACTTTATATTTAGTAACAGTCATCCTCTCATGATTTTGAATTAAGTTTTATCATTCTATCATCTATGGGGTATCATATTCTCTCTTTGGCATGTGATGTCACCCCAATTTTATCAAAATATAACTGAAAATGTTTTATTACATAGAAATTTATAAATTTACAGAATGGTTATGAAATATGAATCAAAATTAAAATTGATAGACCATAACTGAAATTAGGTGTGATACATTGCTCATTAAAATTCTTGATATAGACCTATAAATCTCAAATTCTGTTGCCTTCATACAAAATATAACAAATACAAACTTACTTTCTAATGTGTTCGTTTTCTTTTAAATATAAATCTGTTCTTCTATTCATACCAGAGGAATTTTTATAAGCACTGAAAATAACAAAATCAGAGGAAAATAAGCACAATGCAAAAAAGACAAAATAGTGGATATCAAAACTTGAAAGAGACCATTCATTTCAATATAATAAAAGTAACACAGGGCTCAGCAAAATAAATGTAATAAAGTAACAAAGTGTGGGGGGCATTAACGAAATTGGTATTGGCAAAAACAGTAATAAGGATAAAGGGAATATTTGAAAGTAGCCAGGCTTAAAAGGAATAAGTGTAATCAACAAGGGTAAAGGGATATACTTTTTGATAGTGATAGGCATTTACTGATCAACACGAATAGAATACGAGTCTTTATGGATAACAATCACTTTATTTCTTAAACAACGTTTCGACAAAATTCCACTGGTCATTATCACGTGTACAAAATATAACAAAATCTAAGGATAAAAGGAATAAGAGCAATGAAAGTAAATTGGGTAACAAGGACAAAATGCATTATCAAATAAGGACAATAAGCGCATCATAATTGGACATAGTTTAGGGGAGATAACTATGTTCAATTCAATCACTGCTACAGACCTAACTTAATGAGTGCCAGCAATAAGAAAATCCAGCTTAAGAGCAACAAATATGAACCTGTCTTACAAAAGCTAGAACATACAACTCTAAACTACATATCGTCACTACTTACTTGATATCTCTATGTACAGAACCTAATAAATCCTCCCGTTCTCTGATAGCTGTAATATTAGATTGTGTTTTCTGGAATTCATGTGAATAGTCTTGTAGAATATCACGATGTCTCTGTAAGGTATGCATTAATGCTGCACTGTTGGAATTCAAACTTATATTTTGTGTATATTCCACCATTCTGTCGTTTATTTCATTTAACTACAAAATAAAAATATTTCTCATTACATAAAATTCTGAAGATTGAATTTAAATTTATATCTAATTAGACGCTTGCTCTCTAACCTTAAGGAGATGATACCTTCAGATTTTCAATCCAGTTTCCCAATGTCATAGATGCAAGTCAAACTGGCTGACATAGAAAAGTGTCTACTCGTTCGGATAGGAAATTAACAGAGGCAGTGAGTGCTACAGGCTGTCAACTTGAAAGATCCCTTGATATTTGAAAATCAAGAAAGAGTAAACTACAATATAAGTCAATATTTCTACCTTTGATAATAACTGTTGTATTTCCATGGCCATTGTTTCTATCATGTGTTCACTACTGGATTTATTAATAAGAGGAGAAGTATCACTGTAATACAGGGTAAAATCAACAGTTATTTGCAGTGAATACCAGGGTGTATCGTGTGGGTTATTTCATTTAGTTAGTATTAGTCTTATCATGCTTTTTATCAAAACCATATCAAAACTAAAAAGAAGCATTGCCACAAGCACAAGTTGATATTGATGCAGTCACTATATGTACTAATCTTACAGTACCATTTGTTCAATAACTTTGAGACAACAGACAACTTACCCTACTTTACAACAAATATTACTTGTTAGTTTAATTTGTGTTTTTTTACACTTACAATAATAAATTTTAATAATACTATTTTTTGATAGATGCAAAAAAAATGCCAGCACAACATACACATCATGACAAATTTACATCACATCCACATGCTCACACAAAACATGCCCGGAACATGAGATGAAGGCCATAACTAGACTTTCATATAATATTTCCAATTGATTATCACTTTATATATCTATGGCAACTGATTCCATGATCTTGTATTGAAACATTGATTTGTTAGTGAAAATATCTCATAAACACTCAAAACATACTTAATTACATAAGAAATTCATTAGCTCCACCCCATCCCCTATTCCCCTTCCTTTTCCCACCACCAAACCAAAAAGACAAGAAGAATTAAATCAAAATTAAACCAAGAGAAGAATATTATCAAATATTAAGGGGGACGTGGTTTGGGATAAGTTATACTAGTACCTCTTTTGGTCCTCAGTAGGGGCAACACTAAATAAAAATGGGTACAGATTGTTTGAGAAATTCTATCATAAAGTGAATAATGAACTATTTGGATAGAGATTGTGTAAGATAATTAGCTCCCAACTCTACAATTATCAAAGAAATATTGTCTATTTGGTTAAAATAATATAAGCATAATTGCAACTATATCCAACTACTGTGGTTTCTGATAGTAATGGCACAAGTGTTTATTGGTCTTGATAGTACAGATCTTGAAGTCTTCGTGTTTTACTGTGACAGGTTACTTAAAGTGGAGTCATGCAAAGATTTACATTTTGATAATATCAGTCTCAGCAGTATATGGAACTGGTTTATCAAATTCATGTAACAAAATCAAATGACAAATGCAATTCAGAAACCATAGAAGTCAGACAGTAACTAAACAATTAGAATTTTCCATACCGCTATTTAAAGAATATTTTACTACAGGAAATTATTTTAAACCAACTGAAGGTGGCGCTTGTATAATCCTAGCCACGGTCTGATGTAGGCTTTCAGCCTGTTTCATGTAATTGTTCAAAAGAGAAAAATGTACCTTTCATAGTCTCTCTGTGATGATATACTGGTACCTAATTTACTAAACGATACCAGTTTTAAATCTATCTCATTCTCTAACTGTCGAGCCTGTTTACGCAAATCTGTAACAGTATTAGTAAATCAATGAATATATAAATAACAAATACATTTATATTGAGCAACAGGTTGGGTATGACACAGAAAAGAAGTTTGTACATCATGGTTTGTAATACTACGCTATTTGTATCTCCAATTAATAAAGCGGGAAAACAATCAATCCTTTATCACTCAACCTATAATTACTATGGGGAGTGAAATTTGTCAGACCATGAAAATTATGAAGCCTTACTTCAAAAGGTAATACTGGCATGGCCGTGGATAAAAAAGCACCACAAATTTTTTAAGATGATCATGGCATTGATAAATAAAGTTTAACCGTGTGAAAAGTTAAATCAGCCTATGTCAGTACCGGTACAACCAATATGCGTTATACTATAATGTATAGACACGTTTGACACTGTTGTCATCATGCATGACAGTTTGAATGTTTGAGTTGTCAAATTTGTAAACAAACAAATATTTTATGTAAGTGCTTAAAAAACATGATGTCAAGGGTATCAAAATGTTTACGAAACGATTATCTATTAAGTCCATCATTCATATTTCAAGGCATTATTGGTTTTGAGCCCTGTTTGTGGGAGAAACGACCATAATTTCATAATTACCTTCCCAAAGGTTTCCCATGTCGGCCATGTTAGATTTTAGTCCTGTTGGCAAAATCTCGCGCAATTGAGAACAAAATATTTTGGATTAAATCTTTTTCAAAACACAAATCTATGATATTTATGCCATAAGAGTAGGATAAGTCAATCAATTAGAACTTTCTTAAGTTAATTTTAATTCATTCGTATTGAAAATTTAAAGGATACTTAAAATTGTGGATTACAGGTGTACAGCAAACTAAGTAACATGAAACGAAATATTTATATATATGAATTCATTTATTTCAGTAGCTAACATGTCCAGTTTTTAATGATCTGGAAAAGATGTGCCCCCATTCTGATTTTAGAAAAAAAACCATTGACCATAAAAAATTAAAATACTGGTTGGGTGTTCAGAAAAATAACAAATTGGTAGCAAAACTGCTATCGAATAGGGACGACTTGAACTCTTGGGTGGCCGTCCCTTATTATACAGTCTTTGGCTTCAATAGACATAGCTAGCCTTATATTAAATCTTTCCACGTCTATCATATTTATATTGTCAAAAATAATCCTCGAATGTACATTTTATAAACTTAATAGCATTCTCGATTTCAGCTATTAAAATGAAATATTTGATACTTAATAAAAAGATGAAGAGATATAAGTTTATCTGGTATGAAATCAATGCCCAACCTCCATGCCTAGTAATTTACATCTTAGTTGGCTTATGAGCATCCATGCATAGGTCAGCTTTCATCGTTCCGCTCAGCACGACTTCATTTCACGCTTATGATAATAAATTCCAAGTTTATTTGGGCACCTGTAGATATATGTTACCGGCGAGGAAAGTAGGTTTTAAAAGGAAACAATGATATAATTTCTGCCCAAGCTCAACCTAAGCCAGGATGTATCCCGTCGTTTCCTATCTTCAGCACAGCAAATCATGCACTATGCTACCAAATATTCCGGCATGATAGCTATATTTTTTTTCAGAAATAAAGAAACAACATTTTTTTACAAGGCTAACAACTCAGGTTCACCTCTATAGCAGCTCGCCCCTGACAAAAACTTCTTAGCATTGATCTTTCCCGGAATAACCGTACCCAATTACAGCTGGGGCGACTGCAATGATAAAGAGAGGTGACTTATTCAAGAAATGACCGAGATTAAACCCCACGACCATCATTTGAACGACATAACAAAACGAATGACGTTAATTCTAATGCTTTAACCCACTTCGCTACATCCCGTCCCCATTTTTAAAAAAACACCTTTTTGAAGGAAGTAGTTATTTTGAGAAGCCTCTCGCCAGTCTTTATGATTTTTTGGACAGCAGAGGAGAAATTATGGCGAATACATGACAATTTCAAAATAGTTTAGCTCTTATGTATAAGAGCTTATGGGCAATATCATATTGATATTTTTCAAAAATCGACTCCTATGACCCGAAGTGTCGTCTTCCCAATTTAAAAAAAAAATGGCCTCTTGAACTTTTACACTTTTTGTGGTAAGCGGTAGTCATTTATCACTGTCAAACAGTGGAAATAATAGTTAATGCTTTTAAAATTAGCCTTGCCTTTTCTACAGATCTTGAAGATATGCTGGGGCTTTTTGTGGCTTTTCAATGTTCAAGTTTGACTTTTTAAGTATTATTTTAAAAGTTGGTTGTCAACTTTAAATCTATAGTATAGAAACGATCAAGACAAAGCAACTATCAGCGAATTTAAATAACCATCACGATTCACATTTTTTTGTGAAAATATATGAAGAATATAATTATGATATATGTTTTAACTTCATGCTATGAGCTCTTGTCAATTATATGTTTTTAAATTTGCAGACATTATTTAATGTGTTAAAACACGGAGGAAAATACAAAGTGGTTTTATCGTTTTTGTCCTCTTGGCCAAACTTCAATCATTCTTCTAGCCTACCATTATGTACCAATAATTACTTATATTATCTTATATACCCGACTTCTTATTACCATACAACCACAAACTTTCTCTTTCAATCTTAAACACATCTTTAACTTAACCCTTTGAAGTCCAAGTGTTTGTCAATGATCGATATAAGTACAATGGCCAATAACTGCCAATAATTACTTACCTTTAACCCTATTACAACCAATTTAGTAGTCTTTTAGGGTTAACTGCACATTGTAAAGACAATAATCAGTGAATCAGCAATTTTTTTTAAATAAATGATTAGGTTCCATTAAGGTTAATAAGTAAGTGAAGCCTTTTACTATGAGGCAATAAGTAGCGCTAATTGATTTGTAGGTTGAAGATATAAAACGATGCTTATGTGTTAAAAGTTATAATTATGACTGTATAAACACGTTAATTTATAACGTAATGGCTTCATGACGACATCATGAGAGTTTATACTTTCATAATTTCATTTATCTATTCATTCTTTCTATTCCTTTCTATTTTTCCTTCCTTCCTTTCTTCCCCCCCCCCCTTATTTTTTGGTAAGATTACAGGTTACGTCAATTATATTATTTTCTTTCTGTCTATTCAATTTGGATTCTTCAGAATCTTCATTATCTTTGGTTAAGTAATAAAATGTCTTTGATTTTGCATTTCCCATCTCATATTTTTTCAAATCCATTTTACCCTTACTGTCAAATGGCGGAGCGAGGTTTACGTCCGAGAGAGAGAGAGGGGGGGGGGCGAAATATCTGAGATTGCTCGAATTTCTAACCTAGTTATGAGATATTTGCCCTAAAAACTTACTTTCTAGTCCGTGAGGGGGGGCGCTGCCCGCTCTGTCCCCCTTTGGCTCCGCCACTGCTATTGTCCTACTAAGAGATGAATAAGAATACAAAAATTTCGCTTTCATTTATTCATTTTCTATGGGGATGTTGGTTCTTTTTATTCGCATCCATTTAAAATGATTTCTCTCATTAATGTCAATCCAGAGAAAGTTACGAATAAAAGAAATAGGATTATATTTTGTCAATGATGAGATTAGTGCACCTGTCGTAATAAAAATATTTATTATTTTATCATATCGTTTTCATCGTTTTTTCGCTGTGCCTGAAGGATGGACGAGGACTGCCACTGTCTTGAAGATAAGCAGATAATCTTAGATCGACTCATGTGAATAATATTAATGAGATTTTAACGACTTAGACCAGACATTTGTTATTGGCAGTTTGTAGTATTGATTTTAATGGCCCATGATAAGTCATCGAGACTGCGATAACAAGCGTATTAGAACACCACAAGAGGTGCTCCTGTATCGCTATATACTTCAATTTGACAAATTAATCAAAATCTCACCCCAATTCACTACACCCAATTCAAAATGGCATTGATGTCATTTTTAATCGACCGAAACGTTAACTCTGCGTCAATAAACGGTCATGGTCTACACTAATATGGAAGACCAAATTGACAATTCTATATTAAACACCACAAGAGGTGCTCCTGTATCGCTCTATTTCACAGGTTTCCAACTTAATTCATTAAATCCAATTGAAAATGGTACATTAATATCATTTTTAATCGACCGATCGGTTAACCTTTCCCCAATAAACGGCCACGGTCCACACTTGTATGGAAACAAATCGGGTATCTATATTGAGAACCAAATTCAAAAACCACAAGAGGTCATCCCGAATATCAATTTGCTTCAGTGAAAAATTAATCAAATCAAATTTCAACTTAATTCATTACACCCAATCGAAAATGGCACAGATATCGTTTTAAATCAACCGAAAAGTGAAAATAGGTGCAATAAACGACTACCCATGAAGGGTGGGATGGGGACGTAACGCAGCATCTGACGACCTAAACTTCTAAATTGTGCAGATCAGGGAGCTGATTTCAAATCTGAGGAGTTTGCGTTCGACTTTCCGCTTCTGAATTTGTTATTGAAGAAGAGCAGCGCCAGTGGCATTAGCGAACTCTTATATTTTTTTATTTTGATATACGCTAAGCCAAATTCATTTCTAATTTCTAGGAAGTAATAAGCTTAAGTCAAGCTATTTTCCATAGATGTCGGTCACATCTATAGCTATTAGGGTCTTACTAGACTTACGGATCTATCGAAAATTAACGAGGTATCGAATGAAATTCCATATATCATTAAATATGCTACACCCACATCCGAAATGAAGAATACAACGGATCGTCCTATTGTCCCCAAACGGCGTATTTGATCTATTGTATAGTCATAGTTTATACATCGGGAGGGAGGATTCCAACTTGACAACATCAATCTGAAAATCACACGTATCAATGAATAAGGTGAAGATACCATAATCATAACTGAAAATTGTTCGTTTAAATTCATTACTAAACACACAAAACAAGTAGGGGCTAATAACTTCGCCCAGTCTCACCCCGCGATACAAATACTAATATTGCAGCGAAAGTGACGAACAAATTTAATCCCCTTTGTTGTCCAATTCTATTCTTTGTTACGAAATGTTTTGAAGCAGACGTGAAGTGATCTTAATTTAGGGTCTGAATAAAACTGTTATTTTAACCATACGTGATAAAAGACTGTATTTTTGACACGCAAGGTGTTTCTATCATATTGCATTATATTAAGTATTTGTTCAGATCAGCTGGTTTAAAATCCAGCATGGCACCATATTGTGGAAATTCATTACTTACTGTACAAACAGTTTTCCTTTTGTTGCATCTTCAAATTTTTTGACACGAGCAAAACCCCCTCCACTTTTACAAAAATCTAAAATTACGAAACCCTTTTTTTATTATCTGAACACTAGAAATAAGCAAAGAATCGATGTTTTCCTCTAAGAATGAAAATGTCATTTTTATCGCCATTGCATAACCACAAAAATATACAAACCATTTTCTGGGATCAGAACCAAGTTAAGAATTTAGCTTATCCTCTTAGAAGAATAAGATGTTATTTGAATTTAGATGGTATTACGGTTAATTGAGAAGAATCTCAAAGAAAGCATTGTACTAGGTTACAGAGGGTGTCAATGAATATATTTTATATATAATACAACCAAGCTTTGACCTATTTCAAAGCTTCCACCTCAAAAATAACTTTTTTTAGTACCACAGCATACAAAAAAAGTAAAAGAATCTAAGTTTTCTTCCTTGAACAATAATATGCCAATTTTTTATTACATATACCTTATATTATAAAATTAAACTTCGACAATTTACAACCATAATATTATCTGAGACAGAATTTGTCTGGCTATGCTAGATTAATCGAACCCTACATCCCAAACTAATGTGATTTATGTCATATGTTTTAGGTCATAAAACAAAACAATTGAAATTGTCAACAAATTTGATCTGAATTTTCAAAAGATTATGATCGTTTGTTGTCACCGCCGTCGAGTTTTATCTCGTTCAACATAAGTTTTATGAGAGTTGTAACTTAGTTTTATTACCTAAGTTTTGGTATTGTCCACTTGGGAATTGTGTACGTCGATTATAGGGGAACTTTGTAAGCTAAGAAAGTATAATAATATGACTCTATGATAATGATGATTATTATATAATATTTGATATAAATTATGATATGATATATTAACAATCAGGTGATAATGAACTGATAATTAGGCCTACTCTGCATATTTCTGTGCAGTCTACTCCCCATCTTCACAATGTCAAGCTATTAAAAAACTCTGTATGCCTAGGCCTATGCAGACTAATTCATTATTAGATAACGGTCTGATAACTACATTTTATTTTCCTGGTGGTCAAGATATTGTGGTGATATGGCCTAAAATTGTGATACTTCAAAATATTCCAAATTATTGTCCTACATCATTTTATTTGGCGGATTTCGACAATAAAATACAAAACTTTAATAGTGAATTAAAATTTAACTTTATATTTAGTCTGTTTGCAACTAGAATTTTGTGGTCAGTTTGTCTCTTTCAAACTTTTAATATCTCAATCAAAATATAACAAACTTTATAATAAATGGCTTCAACCTGTTACTTAAATATAAATAATTCAATCCCGGGTATCCAGATGTGACCCCGTTTTAAGTTTTTTATTTGAATATACCGACAAACATACAAAACGATTGCCTTACTGAAGGAGAGTTTCTTGTAAAATGATCAAGCATAAAATTTACAAGTTGTATGGTGTTATTAACAGAATAATTATCATCAAATTTCAGCACCAGCTTATCATTATTTGTAACCTGTTTGAGCAAATCGCGTGTGCCTAATTATTAGGTAAGTTCCAAATTTCTTTTCATTTTCGCCGCCACTCAATATAATCCCTAAATTTACTGTAAGCCGACCACGTGGTCACGTGTTATACCCTTGATCACGTGACAGGAACCTCAAGCTTTTATTAACGAATGAACTGCTGCAGTGAGACATTGGCGGTCTGTTTAAACAACATAACAAGACAGAACGGTAATATTACAGTAATCTGCTCATCAACATGGCAACTTTAAGGAAAACTCTACGATTTTCTATCCGTGGAAGAAGATACAGTGTTTTGGAAGGGAAGGAAAACTACTATTTCAACACACCAAAGTACAACAAGAAGAACTCAGCGGTTGACCTGAATCAGAATGACAACGCAGCAAAACAGGATGAAGTTGAACTCGAGTCTTGTGATTATAATTTGAAACGTGGATCCAAGTCTACACGATCCGTTCGAGATGTTGTTGGCAATTTGAAACAGGTATGTACCCTTTGAATCATTTTTAGACATATTGTGCAAAGTAGAGGCCTAGCAAATTTTGTATTTTGACCCCATGTCCCGTGAATCATGATGAGCCATTGAGGGGTCACTTTGACCCATTAAAATTGATCAACAATCGGTATGTTACGGTCCAGAGATTTTCTATGTCAGAACTTGCAGTGTTCAATAGATGAAAGGTTTATTTTGATGACAAGAACAATGTTAGATTGAAAGTAAAATAAATGGCTTGGGGCATGCATTATACAACTTGCTGGGAACATAGCCATTGACAGTTAAAAAAAAATGAGTAAGTTTGTTATGTTACTACTGGAAATACTGAAGCCCCTCTGAAAAAGGTTTCATACATTCCACTAATCCCATATTGAATAGTAGATATGAGCTTAGTCCTTTTTTTTCAATAAACAAAATTGTACTTTTTATTCCTGTTGATATATAAATAGTGAAATTATGATAATTAGGCTACAAAATATGAATTTGAAAATGGCGGTTGAAAGTAATTGGCTAATTGCATTGATATTTCAAGACGTTATACATTTTTGTGTACAGTTGACATTTAATGAAATTGTATAATAATGATTGATATTATGCTGATTTTTAACTTTTAACCGCATGTATTATGTTATTGATGTCTTATGACTTGCATTATTCAATAATCTACCATATGAATTTTGTAAAATTAATAATAAGCTCATATTAAATTGGTAGGATAACAGTAACTTTCAGTACCAATACCAAAATTATAGATACTTTTCACCCATTGGCCTCATTTTCAAACTCATGTTCTATTGTCTAGTCCAACTATTCAAAATGTAAGACAACATGATTATGCAACATTGTCTACTGACAGCAACAAGATTGTGATCCATGTTTTCTTAAGTATTGACTAGATTGGCTGACATGTTATTTAAACTGATATGCTTATCTTATTGACAAATTAACATGGAGTCAGTACAAGATAAGGCCTAACCCTCTCAGGGATTGTTACTAGACTTGTATCTGTCATGGATCTTGTCTATTGAATCATTAATATTATTAATGAGATGTATTCTATAGAGAGACTACTAATTAAAGCCAGAGAAAAACATGCAGCATACTCCTAATGTATTGGGGAAGACTCAAAATTATTGAAAAAGATTAATATTCAAATCAATTTCACAATCAATGGAAAAAAAATTAACCATCAATTAGGAGATCAGTCCATTTGTCCATTTGTGATCTGGATTTTTTATTTGATTTAGAAAAAGTGATGTAATGGAATTAAATTGACATTGAAATAGTGTCAATGGAGTGACAACTAAAAGTTACAAAGATTTTCTAGGCTTAGCATCAATAAAGGAAACTGAAAGTAACAGATATTTGTCAAATTTCACATCCATATACAATGACTTTTATTGCCCTTAAAGTAAGAATAACAAATCCCCCATAAATCTTCTCCAAACTTTTGATGTTGCAAGTTACCAACTGGATTTAACTAAATAGACAGCCCCTAACACCTTGACAGTCTAGGGTGAAATAGTGATACATTTTTATTATAGATTATTGAACTGTAGGGAGTATTGATGGATGCCATCTTGACACTGAGCCAACTTAGACCCTTTTACTCCCCTTTTTAACCCCTCTGTCTCTCCTCCCATCTGTTAGATAGGGTAAGGTGTAAGTTAAAGGGAGTGTACCCTCCCCATGGGGTCCATTCTATACACTAGTAGATCCTGAACATGAACCTCCAATAAAGAAGGGAACGTGTTAAGTTTAAAACATGACAGATTGAGACTTTCAATTGACTAATTTTACTTGGCATTTATTTTATATGAACACCAATTGTTGTCAAAATGTCATCATTACATTGGCCCAATTTAGAAAATTTTGCATGTGTGATGGCATGAGACACTGATTAGGGAAGGAAATAAATCAAAGAATCTGATCGATAATCAACAGACCATGTTACAATGTCTTGACATATTGTATTGGAACCATAAGATGCAGAAGTTAAGGCAATAACAATACATTAATACAAAGATGGAGTCTATTATAGGAATTCAATTTATATTTTCAGAAATTTCGAATGTCCACCAAAAGAAGAGTAAGATTACAAGATGCCAAGTCACCCAGAACTCCTTCCAGAAGACGATCATTAAGACTAGGTGGTGTTACACCTAAAGGAGATGTCAAGATGTTACCATTTGGTATTGATTCACCAAGCAGTAGAATCAGATGTGGAACTAGACAGAGACATCAGTGGTGAGTTCATCATATTTTAATCAGAAGCCAATTGTTAAAAGGTTTCGTACTGAATTTCCCTAATGCTTTTAATTTTTCTGTATCAGTGTTTTGAGTAATTTGACTTATTTAAAATGATCGGTACTTTCTTTCAAGTTTCCTAATCCATTCCTATATAAGTGACTAAAGTTACTAGTTTATTTAAAATATTACTAAAGTCTATAATATGTTGTAGTACCTTCTCAAATGTATGCTTGTTAGCATATTCAAATCAATATGCAAAAATATTCAGATAGTCTCATATCTAACGCCTCGGACTGTTGGCAGTGGATGTTTCACAAGGAGAAACTAGTATTTTATATATTTGCCCTTATATTTTCAGTGTATCATTAGAGACTCCAACAAGACTAAGAAAAGAAGTGGAATCACTAACAGCCAATATGAAAGCTTTATCAGCCTTGACACCAAATACTTTACGTGAACGAACTATTGCAAGGTACATAGGTATTATATTTTACTCTTACTCTTTCACTTTCTAGTTTAGATAGTTAACAATCGTCAATATTTACAAATGAATTGATTGCAAAGATGTTCAATTTTGCAAATGGTTGATTTATAACCCAGCTAGGAAGGGCTTAGTGACTAGCCTGGTCAAACAGTTTATTATCTTATTGTACAAAAGGGATTTAAAAATGTTAGATATTAAATATCTCTTGGATGTACTATCTCTACTTGAATTGCATATTAGCTTCTGTTAGTTTCTGTCTTTATTTTGTATCAACACTTATTAATTTCCTTATTTCAGGAGAACTTCTCCCCTAACTAATGGTAGCTTAAAGACAAGATGTGCCAGAAGAAAGATAGAAACTAGTGTTTATTAAACACAATATGGTATGGTACAGCTGGATACAGTGAACTTACCACCCTCTGAAAGTTTTGAACTATTCCATACATGCTTATTTATATTCTTTGTAAAATGAAGATTAATTTGCTTAGTTGACATAACAAGGGGTGTTTTACATTCTTTGTCCAGCATTGGTACTGACATGGATGTATCTAGTTTTAAATTCAGTATTGTTATGATACAAGTATTGTTATTGGTTGAGATTAATACTGACACACCTATAACTGACCAATGGAAACTGTTGTAAGATATGATTGTTAGTGTATAGAACACCTAGTGCTATATTTTAATTATTGTACATAGTTATGAGCTATTTGCTTTGCATGACCAAAGATACTCCCCTGCCCCACCTGTCCTATTTATACAGATGATCATAATATGCAAACCAATATATAACTATATTGGACTCAGTTAGGCTACGGAATGTGTGAAATGACGATGTACGATGCAGGAAAAGCACGAGGAAATTACAAATCATGCCTGAATCTTATATTCTCTCTTTCTATTTTTGTCTGTATACTGTATCTTGTCTGATAGGGTCTTTAACTACAAGCTCAAGTTCTGATAAAAATCATCTTTCGGTAATCTACAGTCTGATAAGAAATTCAGGGTGTTGAGTTTTATTTGTTTATAAATTCAAACAGTATTACGATATTCTGAAGTATTTTAAATTCAGTATTCATATAAACGTATAGTCAAATAAAGAAGTTTCTTCTCATCCAGGGTCTGTGTTGGCTGATTAAATTTTAGATAGATATTTATAAATTTCAAGAAAATAGACAGCTATATGTCAGAATTCAGACCCAGGTGCACAGAAATATCTTTTCTCTTAACATCTGTATTATTATCAAGTGTAGATCTAATTATTGAATTAATATCCTCTATCTTTGTCAGAATTGTACTTGCTATCGATTTTGTATAATTTGTGTTCAGAGAATTTTGATGACCTGTATAGCGTAGATATATAATCTTTAGTTCGTAAATTTCCGGCAAATCTTTCAGTTGGAAATAATATAATAATAAATCCTTATGCTATTTAGGTGTAGAGATCATATTTCATAATGGAACCCAATTTTATTGATTTTTACTTGGATAATTATGGTTTGTGTTCTGTTATTTGATTTAATACATGTTATGTCTATCCAGATTATAATTTTACTGTAAATATTATTCCATGACCCCTTTCTTGTATATTTCTTGTCTTTCATTCTATTATATTTCCATTCACTCTTTTCTTCTGTCTATCCTGTATCTTATCTCTTATCTTTGTTATTGTATGTTGTTAGTGTATTGTAATAGATGAAAACCCAGGCATAAAAATATTAAAATGCTTTCTGCTCAATGAAGTTATTATTTCTTTCTCCAACCTATTCAGATTTGTTGTTTCGTGTATCTGTCTTTTGCTAGGCAAATCAGTTTCTCGGTGAGATGTCTGCTCCTTAATTTGAATGTGCCTCCTAGTCATCTTTGAGATTCCTCAAATTTCCCCAAAGGAGCTGACATAAGATAAATGGTACTTTAAACTGAGACCCCATTAAGCTGACATAGATAGCTGAGCTTGAAATTTTGCCCATTTCACACTGCATATTTGAGCAAAAACTGTGATATATAAATAAACAGGGATATCTGGTTTTTTGCTTCTCAACTGTTGATTTTTTGGACTTGCCAAACAATAGACATTAGAATACACATGACTACTGACTAGAATGATAATTTGGTGAAAACTGAAGTATATATGGAAGATGTTTATTTTGACAATGATGTACAGTACATGATATAATATGGTATATACAGATTTAGTAAAGCCACGATATTTTGCACATCCAAACCAAAACACTATAATTTAGTCTCTTTTATTTGAAGTAGAACTAGAATTTTCACAGAGACCTACCTCAAGAGAGTCCATCATGATTAAAATGGACTGATAAGTTTTGACTTGTACCAAAAGGTGCACAAATATCTTTGATTGGCTATATGATTTACAATAAAAGAATAATCTTACCATGATTCTTTTAAACCTTTTTTAAACAAGAATAAATTCAATCAGATGTTGGATATATTACCCAAAGCTTTACTTACAATAAAGGCTATAAAATTCACCCTTTGAACTTTGCATATTCTTGGAAGCCTTTCAAACATTTTGGCTCCTGTTTCATTTAAGAATTTGTAATGCCTTTACTTGAAATTACAAAAGGAAAGGGTCAATTCAACTCAGATGTAATCCAATGCTTTAAAATCATGATTTAACCAAACTGTTTCAATACTTAATTTACAGTAAATTTCAAACACAATTCATTAAGATATAGCCACTGTCTAGTGTCTTAAAAGTTTCATAAATTACTGTTAGAATTTTCATCGTTTTTAGATGGTAAACTGTCTGTTTCTCTTTCTAATACTGGTGGCTCAGAATCTGGAAAAAACAAATTTTTAATTGGATTATCTCCCTTACAAATAGCGAAAATAGGAGTGTAGCCCATCTATCTTCAATAGTACATTTTAGTAACAAGAGATTCTGAGATTCCTAGAAAAATAATTCCATAGTACACCAAATAATAAATATCTGTTCCTATATTCACAAAGCATACAATATAAAAAAAAGATTTAATATGGTTTAACATTACATGATGAAGGTTTCTTAAATCTGTTTGGAACATATGTAATGGTATTTCGATCAGCAATTACAAGGAAAACGGGCATAAGTTCAAAATATTTAAGTCTTACCATTTGTCTCTTCGTTGGATCCATTTCTCATCTGATCTACATTCATAGCTGAAAAATTATTCACATAATTTATGTACAATCTAAGTTTCCTTGTACAGAAGGGACTTGACAGACTTGAATATCTAATTAGCTTGCAGGTCATACATAACAATTTGAGGGCAAAAGATCAGCTGCACGAGTTGAACCTAAGGATGGGCAATAAATCTTGTTTTCAATCAGTATCACCTCTATAATGAGAATCCCAACATGGGACACCCGCATCCCACATGGTTTAAGTATGTGTCTCACGTCGATAAACATAGATTCAAAATAAATATTAATACCTTCTATATCATTGCTATCTTGTGAATAATCTACAGAATTATCAGGAAAAGACATATTGGAATCTTCCTGTTGATACATATTCGACTCGCTACCATTGGAATCATGGGATTGCTGCGTATTTTCTTCTGTGTAGACTGAACTAACTGGCCGACCTAAAAATTAACAGTAATATTTGCAGATCTCCCTTAGATTTGAATAACTTGGAATTCCTGTGGCTTACCACACAAAGTGTACATACTGTTAACTGCTGTACTCCTAATAAGATTAATAGAAACAACTACAGGGCTATGAGTGCTATGAGGGAAATTTTGCTTGGATAGAGCCATTAGCAAATTTTTTCGAGTAAAAAAGGCAGTTTCGGTAGTACATGCAGTTTCTGTTTATTGCAATTGCCCCATTTAAACCAAACAAACACACAAACACCTTTCCATGAAGTCATTTCAAACTGCATCACTGAGAGCCCCCTGGAGTCAATGGGATACCGGCACAATTGAGTCAGACACTAGGTGGCGTGCTAGTGAAGTAGGACACGCGAGGTTGTCTGCTGCCGTCCTACTTCACTACAGCACCACCAAGCAGATTGATTCTGCTAGTTTCTCATTACATTAACCTACCTAATGTTGACTGTTGTGAATCTTCTTGATTAGCTTTTAATACATCACTGACTCTCTTTAACTTTAAATGATTTCCTCTTTTACCAAGTTCTAAAATCAAACATTTCCTTTTATTACCAATTACAATATGTTTCTTGGAAAATGCTGTTTAATAGAAGAGAACTCATCAACAACTCTGTAACGAAGCTGTAATTAATGAGTATAACCTGTCTCCAATCTAAATGGCTTGGAAAAGAGAAAACAAATAGACTACATCCAGTCAGTCCATAGATACAGGCACGTAGTATAATCAATGTGTACAGAGAGTTATAGAATCAACAAACACTATATTATCAGCAAGTCTACAGCAAGATTACAACTCCAGGTTTAAGTTTTGATCCTGCAACACACCAGTCCAGTCTACTATTTTTATTGACATCCTTACCTGATTTTCCTGGTGATTTCTTAAAATAACCTTTTCTAGATGTAGTTGTAGTCTGCAATAAAGATATACACTAGACATATTGATATTTCAGCCAATTTTCAAGGTCTCTGGCGTTCAACTTGGCTGCAACAAAGTGACTTACTCTGAATTCTATCCTTATTTTAGAAAAAGGAAGTAATTACAGTCGAGTAACCTAATTTCGTGGAAACCTATTATTCGTGGATTTCCGGAAAGGATTAATAATTTACGAGCAACCTTGCGCGACCTCTTCATTAGTTTGTTTTAATAAACATGGGTTTTCTCTACAATATCAGCTAGTAGAATGAATCCAGTAGTTGCAAGTGAGGTAGAATGTATTAATGTATACTTTGACAAATACAAAATGGCGGATGTCAGTTATTTCCAAACGTCACCATTTTTTATCGGCCGAATTTCCTTATAATCCCTGGCCGTAATCGGAATTCCAAGTGTCGTCTGCTAGAATGTAGTCCAACGAATGAAGTCAAGTGATCAAGTAGCGGATTCCGTGTAAGCAGAAAATTTCTATGAAACACAAAGTGGACCATATTCTTATGTTGTTTCAATGACTTTTAGCAATAAATCACACTACGTATCTTATTTTGTCAGTCACTATTTTTTTTTTAAATCGTGGTTCTTTGAAGGAATTGTCACTAGGTATAATGAATTGATATTAAAGATAAATACTAAGAGAAGTTAATTATACCACCCGGTATCCATACAACGTGTTTTTCTAGACTTATTTATAGTTCAAACATTGTACACGAAAATAGGTGACGCATTCTGCCGTCGTTGCCGAGTTGGTTGCTCATGAAATATGGGTCAAAGTGAAGAATTCATAAAGATAATCGAAACAAACCAATTTTAATTATTTTGTAGAATATCTGAGGAAACATCTAAGACATAAAAAAAAAAATTTAGTTTTTTTAACTTTGACGAAATTCGGTGTTGAATCCTTATATCCACGAAAATAGGTTACACCACTGTATATAATAGCCCTAGCAGTATAAATATTCTACATAAGTTTCTATCAGCTTATACATGTAGCCTACCAGTAGGCAAATAAGAAATTTGTAGAATAGAAAATTTACCAATATAAAACTTACCCTGGGTGAAATTTCTTGATTTGCAACTGAAAAATTAAATTTTAAAGTTCAATGAGTTTGAACTCTATCCTTCAAAAAGATGGAGCAAAGAGTTGTGCTTTTATTTCCCATTTAAGACTTATAATATATTCCAAGAATTATAATATACTTGTTCATAGAGAGAGTCTCCTTTCTTTGTCTCTGTCAAATTTTGAAAAATTACAACACTAAGCCTACCTGGAACCCACTTGAAAATTCTCATAGTGGTGTCTCCTATTGTTACCCATTTTTTCTCCCTAAAATTTAAAACAAAGTTCAAATTTAATTCATAGGCCTACAGAAAATATTATTATTTGTTTTACAAAAAATGAGAAAATTGTTGGATGAAAAGAATAGCTATTTTCTTTGCATGGTCATAAAGTTTTAATAACTAAATTGATAATAATGCAGGGCAATATTAAAGATCAAAGCTTGCCGACAAAGAAGAGCAGGAGTTATTGCCTACACTACAGCGTGAACAGTATATTCGTCTATTGTCTCTACTTACCATTTCTTGACTTTATCTAGCGCGCTGATTACCCTCTTGATGTCTTCCTTAGCACGACTACGAGTTTCGGCTCTTATTGACCGTGAAAGCATATCGTTAGAAACACTGGCTTGATAATGAAAATAGATTTTCACTCGGCTAACATTCAATCAAAATAGCATAATAAACAATGGTTACCCGGATGTTCATATGAGTGCGTTTTCTGGTCTAAGGGAGATAAATCCAAAAATTGAATTCAGACTACAACAAATTAATACAGAGGGACGTAAAGTGAATGAAGTTTTACGTCCTACTTGGGCCAATAAAAATTGGCGACGCCATGCAGTGTGTCATGAGGGACATTTTGTCATCACATTAGTATGATTTTTTTCCATTTAGGTCTACATGAGATCTTGAAAGCCCGTAGCTTACGAGGTTTATTGTTCCATCCGAACTGCTAGTTTTTCATGACAGTCTCCCAGACAAAAATCTTAAGTATGATCTCGAGCCATGCCTTGAACATCACTGAAACTCACTGAACGATCTCGAGCCATGCCTTGAACTTTACAGAAGCTCACTGAATGATCTCGATCCATGCCTGGAACTTTACAGAAACTCACTGAACGATCTCGAGCCATGCCTTGAACTTTACAGAAGCTCACTGAATGATCTGGAGCCATGCCTGGAACTTCACAGAAACTCACTGAATGATCTCGAGCCATGCCTTGAACTTTACAGAAGCTCACTGAATGATCTCGAGCCATGCCTTGAACTTCACAGAAACTCACTGAATGATCTCGAGCCATGCCTTGAACTTCACAGAAACTCACTGAATGATCTCGAGCCATGCCTTGAACTTCACTGAAACTCACTGAATGATCTCGAGCCATGCCTTGAACTTCACAGAGACTCACTGAATGATCTCGAGCCATGCCTTGAACTTTACAGAAACTCACTGAATGATCTCGAGCCATTCCTGGAACTTTACAGAGACTCACTGAATGATCTCGAGCCATGCATGGAACTTCACAGAAACTCACTGAATGATCTCGAGCCATGCCTGGAACTTTACAGAGACTCACTGAATGATCTCGAGCCATGCCTTAAACTTTACAGAAGCTCACTGAATGATCTCGAGCCATGCCTTGAACTTCACTGAAACTCACTGAATGATCTCGGGCCATGCCTTGAACTTCACTGAAGCTCACTGAATGATCTCGAGCCATGCCTTGAACTTTACAGAAACTCACTGAATGAACTTCACTGGAACTCGTTGACTGTATCCTTATCCTTATCCCATTAAGAGACAAAACTGTATATTACTTCATTTTCATGTTACACTTTTATTATATTTACAATTATCTTTATATACATATAGTTAGTTAACACGGTTTAATCATACACGGTTTCATCTCGGAATCGCCGGAATAACAATTATTAATATCTCGACACTTCCTGGATCTTTCTCTAATACCAATATCACATGTTTTACTACATAAACTCCATCTACTCCACGCTTCATAACCTACAAATAAAAAGCATAAAAACATACAACTTTAAGGTATATTATCGTTTAAATATTTGCTATTCATGGGTATCTAGAAAATGCCCGAAGGGAGGGGGGGGGGATTTCTTTTCACTTTAAACTAAATCAATTTTCACTTTAAAATAAGACCTTTCACAGGCCCGAGGAGGGGAAGGGGAGGAGCATGGCCCAACGGTACACACTCTAAATACGTCACTGCTGCATTACCAGCGAATATAGCACAGTTTAAACTATTCTTGTCAGCAATTCAACGAAATACACCTTTGATTATATTGTAGTCACTTTCAAACTTTATAATATTTTTCGGGTACATAACTAGCCTACAATAGCGTGATATTTGGAATAAAATTGGGAATACGTTCCTAGAAGGGACGACAATTTAAAGTGTAATGGCACGCTTTTGGGCTGTAGGATTCTATAGGGAGGATAGCTGATAAAACACAATAATTACGAATGGGTCACGTTACAAATTGAGAAGATTCCAATCCACCGCTATTTTTGAAAATAGCTACTTAGATCGACCTATTGCTTGAATGCTAATCAGAGATGCGTCATCAAATTTTCACGTGTGAAGAAAAATTACGCAAATATTTGACTTCACGCCAAATTACCCACCATGAAGCTACACACCAGAATTAGGATCTTCAACTATCTTTTCAAAAGCCTCAGCCGAACTTATAAAACCATTTCTCTCAGATGTGTCCATTGGACTGTGCGCCAAACTCCTTTTCTTTCTGTCTACGTTGATTTTAACTCCACCCATAATATCATCGTCGTCAGAGTAATCCGAGTCAATGACCAGCTCATCTAAATCGTCCTTATCAGAGTTATCTTTATCAAACATCTCATTCTTCCCAGCAGGATAGGCCGAATAATCCATAGCAGCTTCTCTCTTTTCTTTATGTTCTATTATTATTGATCCGTTGTCTACATTAGTCCAGTTTCCCGTCCCTGTATCAACATTCTGCGGTTTGGATTCTGCTTGTTGTGGCTTTTGGATAAGAGGTCACCTTCCTAAGAAAATCTAACATTTTCGAGTACTCCGA